AAGATATCGAATGATTCACTTATTCTAATATCGATTACGCTTTAAACATAATTGTTTATTTACCGCTAGACATTCGACGCACAAAAGAATAAATTAACTTAAATGCAATTATTACACATTCGTTATTATAATGCTTTGCCAGACAAAGGGAAAACAATGTAACAGTAATTGGCATTAAGATGATTCCGACGGTTATATAAGTACATACATGCAATAGTAGACACGTGCATTGTGTATTTTTTGCAGTTCCCATTTTTTTTTTTTTGCAGCTGTAAACATTGAACTTATATTATGATTCTATGCGTTGATTGATTGCCACATTTCTGTTGTAAATACATTGTGTTCACCTACGACAACTGCTTATGATTTATTGTATAAACAAAATTTGGAGCGTGTAAATTTGTTTCATTTTGTTGAAATAATAACATATACATTCATGTTGCGTTCTTAGTGTTTTTGACACTACGAGTAGACATTGACCATAGCTAAAATTACGTTTTGTATTTAAAAAAAAGCAGTCTTATATTATTTTAGCGGTTTGACCGCAGTCGCAGAAAATTATATCACAACGTCCTTCAAGCGAGTTAAGAGTAAAAAACGCGTTCGGCAAAGCCAACATCACGACCGTCACGGCGACCTAGGTCAATGATACACCCAACGCATCTTGACCTGAGTTAAGTGCCGTTAAGTGAATATTTTTGAACGGATTGTTAACCCCGGAGTTGTTATTTTTCCTCGATACGTTGACTGATGATAGTAAACGATAACAATTGCCAGGGTATTGACTCGAATTGGCACGCGTAGCGTGAGCCACAATAAGATACAAACACAAATAAGAATAATAATATGATACAAATGAAATAGAAACTGTTAAACTGCTATACTAGTTTTCTAATTGGCCACAGCCCTTAGAGGATCTTGGACTGTTCACTTGTTATTCAGAAGCATCAACTCATCAAAACAAAGTCGCTCGACTATAAATTTTCAGAGTTTATTTTAGCATGTAATAAACCTTTCTTAGATATTCAAACATCCATCATACCGGATTATCATCTGTATTCATTTTTTAATACCAACGTTTGTTTAGATTTTAGACCCTGATAGAAGACTGGTAAGCTTAGAGAATTTATAGACTGTATCTATGAAAATATATTCGCTGGTCTTAATTTTTCAAACTCGTTTGGTTATTGTTTTCAAAACAAAAATATTGAAATTTCAGCCCTCGTTTACATTAACACGTTAACTTCCTACGACACGTAAATATGCGATAATATTACCGATAATTATAGCATCGGGCGCTCAGTAATGTGATTTTTAAAACAAAAAAACACAAAAAGCCATTGTGTTTCATTATCCAAAAGAGGGTTGAGGACTATAATATGTATGCACAGAGGAAATATAAAAGGTGTTCGGTAGCGTGCGGCCCAGGTGAAACAATAAAGTGACAATTAACGTTTAATGAGTTTATAACGCCGTTGGTGGTCGGAGTGTGTGTAAATATAATATAATGTACTTTTTATATGATATTTATTATACTATCCTTGTTTCCACATAAAACATTTCCACATGTGACATAGGATGATATATATATATATATATATATAGGGCTGTAGCCTGCTTAGTGTGTTTTACGAGACTGTTGGCTTGAACCGAATAACTAGGGCTTTTTTTTAATTTTTTACATTCGTGCTTCCGTCAATGTATAAAAAAATGTTATCTAATACAATAAACAACTGGAAATTATTTATTCGGGGTTCTTTACTTGTGTGTGCAGTCAACTCGTTCCCTGCAATATTTGAGAAGACGAATACTGTATACCTCCTAGCGTTTATTCGTGTGAACGGTACACACTGTTGTGTTATGATAGCTCGAGGGCTTTTCATTGTTAATATTTGTATTGGCTGTGTACGCGAGATAGGATGATGTAGCTTCTCGACGGGATTTAATGTGTTTCTTAAACGCCAATAATACACACATACTACTGTCGTGTTGGTACTGCCAAACCGCACAAGACAAGTCAATGGCCTTTAATCGCTGTTCATTGTTGATTCAACCTTTCAACTGCATTTCAATGAAAATAATAAAACTACGAATTATAAATAAAAATATGTTCTCGAAACTGAATTACTTTAATTAACTCTGCATTTAGTAGAATGTGACAACAAACAACGTAAAAAAAAAATAGTTTTGCTAACTGTGAAAAACAATTTAAAAAAAAGTAAAATCTCCGAGAATTTTATAAAATGGTATCCTAAATTTTTGGTATCAAATTTATTTAGACTTTTGAGGTATCAAATTTTAGATGGTAGATTTTAATCTTTGTTAAACTTGACTTTTTAGTTTTCTTATGACAATCAAGAGAAGTCATCGCAGTGATCTTCGCACACGGACTTGTAAAAATAATGCACAACTATTAGTTTTAGTTATTTGAATAAAACTTTGAAAAAAGGTGACTTATTTTATTTTTCCCGGCAGCCTGCTATTTTTATTTTCTATACAATTAATCTTTTTGACCTTGTTAAAAACTTAAATAATAATAATTAACGTAATAAAACAATAATGTTTTTCCCATATTATTCTTTATTATCTATAAGTGGTTCTATTAATTAACTTTTATAACTTTACTACTACATGCCTGTAAAGTAAAACGTGTTAGATAAGAATATTTGTGAATAATAATGTTTTTGGCGATAACAATATTACTCGACATAAAAGAACCACCGACTGTTTTCAACACTATCCTACCACGTATCATTATTTATGTTCTAAATAAATATTATGTTCCTCTTTACATTAGCAATTTTCATTTATTTCGACAACACCCGTTTCTATTGGTTGCAGTTACTTGGTTGGCTGGATTTGTCTTTTTATTTTTTTCTATTGAATAATTGTTGGTTTCCACGTATAACTATTTTCCAATCATCTTATCTATTGAAATTTTCTGTCAATTTTCAAGTTATATTCCTTCTTTGAACATTTTTTTTTTCAAAGTTAGCTCCTGTGTTTAACATGTTTACCTTATCAAATTGGGCGATATGTCCGTTATTTTTTATTGTTTGGCTACCGTAGATTTGTCTACTCTTTTTTAGACCACATCTCTTTCTTGTTCTTTTATCCGTTTCTTTGTTGTTCTTCCAGTTTTTCAAATGTATGATTTGTCACATGTGCGTAGTAATTCAAATGTATATACCTGATGTTTGTATTTCATCCTTAGGGCTTCGGAATAATGATCCAATTATTATATTTGGTCAAAAAAACGTTTTTATTTGTTTTTCAATCATACGCGTTGATTACAATTTGTTATTTCTTGGTGGTAAAATATAACAACTGAAGATAAACCACGTCATATTTTTGAGAAATTATAAAACACATGCAAACAAACATTTTTAAATTTATAAATAATTTATAATGTTGGCCAATGATATCTTGTCAAAAATACATGTTGCCTGTTGCCATATAATTGCGACTTGATAATGATTAATAATGGCACCCAATCTATTCACACAGGTTTTCTACACACACACACACAATCAGTTTATGTAACAACAATACAATAGTATGACTTATTTCTTTGTTGTGGCCAAATGTGTTCGGTGCAAACTGATTGTCGCGAAACTGCGGCGACGGTTTACCTTAGCTTAGGGTCGTTAGTCACACCAGACCGAATCGACTGACCTCGAGGTAGATGAAATGTGTCTGCCCACGTCTGAAAGACCATCGTAAATCGATTAATTGTCTTTTGAAAATATGTAATACTGTTATAAAACGTTATGTCCTGTACCGCGTTTGTCGACATCTGCATAATTTTCCATTGAAAGAGCGCCGACTACACGAGTCTTTTGTTTTTAACTAAAAATTCAAATAATTACTTAAACGCTACGTTTGTGTGAGGAATTTCCGCCAGGCGGCATCGGTCTCTGTGGGTGTGAGCAATGGCGAAAACGGCCGGAAAACAGGAGCGCATAATATAATACCTAAAGGTAAAGGTAATTTTATACCAACAAGAAGTACCACATCGCATAATCTAGTGTTGTAAAAAAACGAGTTAGTAAAACCCAAAGGAATCACAGTATTAACCAGCACAGTAAGAAAGTTTTAAAGTGAGATTCAGTGTTTAAAAATTAGCATCAAAGCGTTTATTTATAATAATTTCTGTAAACCTGTAAACTCTCCGTTATGCTTTGATTCCACTGAACTGGCATACTCGGATAAAATAACGTTCAGTTACAGTAATTTCTGTAGCCCTGTAACTTCCTCGGTTGCACTACGATTTGACCTTGGAGTTATTTTTATGGTGCATCCAAGTAAGAGACAACAAATTATCTAAGTAGTTTAGATAACTCAGGTCAATAAATCAAACATAAGCTTTGTATTTTTATATGAACACAATAACTTTAATACTTGCTACGTTATTGAGCTAACGAGAAAATCAACAACAGAAAACATGGGAGTCTATTGTAAATTATTAACCGATATCTGTATCGTACGTGCGTATCAGTGGGATATCATTTAATGTTCTAATAGCTTTATTATTCCATTATTTACAAATTATTTGCCCGGCTTAATGTTGTTCACTCAAATGGGTTTTACTTTGAGCAGCGCTTCAATCCATTACTTTGGTGGTCAAAAATTAAAAAACACAACTTCTTACTCCACAAACATACCCTAGTTTACAAAACGTTTATTGAGTAATAAAATAGTTGGCATGACATGGTGCTACTATATAACCAATCGCTGTTTTGGGTAGTATAATGCATTTGAAAATGACTTAAAAACAATGCCAAATGCTATAAATAATACGATTTTATTGATAGAAATATCTAGCTCCGAAGAAGTAAAAAAATATAGGGTATGTCGTGTTAGATTAGATTCAAACTAGGCTTTTAAACTTTAAAGGGTCTAAACTCAATAAGCATGCTTTTATTTGAGCCTGTGTTATTTTAAAAGACAACCATTGTTAAAGGTTATTTTAGAAAAATATTTTAAAAAATAAAATCCCATAAGCTGCATATTTAATTTATTGTACAATCATTTCTGTAATTTTAAAATTATAGATTATGTATTCGATTATTATTTGAGACATGTTATTGTATATTTTTGATATCAGATCCTAGTTGATCTTTGGAAATTGGAATCTGAAAAAATACAAAAATTGTTATAAATGGATATGAGTTTGGTTTTTGGTTGTTCCTAGTAATAACTATATTTATATATTACTAATAACCTTTATTATTATTTTAATTACGTTAGAACGTTTACTTTAGCTTACTTTTTTGCAACAATAACATGCAATAGATACACTTAAATTGATGCATAGCCAGATAATAGCCAGAAATTGATTTTAAAAAGAGGACAATGAATACTACAAAATAAATTGGGTAGGTTGATGAAAAACTTGAAATTCACGACCTTACTGGTAACTTTTCATTCTTATTTTGAGATAAGGTAGTTAAACATTTGAACATGCTTTTTACTAAGCGAGTTTAAGGATAAAACAATGTGAGAAAACCTTAAACCTTTAAGAAGCCACTAAAGATAGATTAGGGTAGGTTAGGTTTATTTAAAAGGGTTTGAAGGGTCTAAACTCTACAAGATGAACATTATACCGTTGTTAAAATTATTTTGAAAACATTTCAAGGAAAATAATTTATAGTTTACATACCTTGTTAATTTATCTTTGATCTGGTCTAGAATGTTCTAAAAAAACGTACAAAAAGTGTTAAAAATGAGTATGAGTTTGGTTTTTGGTTGTTCCTGGTAAAAACCAAATGTATATTTTATTAGCGATTTTTCTTATTATTTTCACATACGTCAGAACGTTTCTGTATCTAACATAGAATTTGTATTAATATAATGCTATGTAAACAAAAATTGGTACTTTGAAGGAATGAAAATCATGAAATATTTAACTTGTTATCATTGCACTGAAATTGATTTACTCTTAACCTGTACATAGACACTTTATTAATTGATACTTTTAAACATATTTTTACTAAGCGAGTTTATGGATAAAAATATTTAAGAAAACCTAAACCTTTAAGAAACCAGTAAAGATAGACTGGGGTAGGTTAGGTTTATTTATTAAAAGGGTTTGAAGGGTCTAAACTCTACAAGACATACCGTTATCCAATCTGTTGAGTTTATTTGGGGAAAATATTAAGGAAAAAAATAGGCTGCAAAGGTAATTTATTGTACATTTTCTGTATACTTCATACTTCTGTATTTTCATTCTTTGTTAACAGACGTGCTTACTCTGCTACATTCCTACTTAATTTGAATACTTAATACTTACATGTTTATGTCCGCTGCTTTCCGGATGATCATTGGATGGTTTATATTTATCGCTAAACATTATCATACCTATTTTTTCCTCCCTTTTTTCTTCATAATAGGTAGTTTCTATAAGTTTTATTTTAAGTTCGAGTGCGCTGAAATGTAATAATAATAATATACATATTATATGATAAAGCGTCTCTTAAAATATTTACAGTTTTGTAACTTTCCATTAAAAAAATTATTTGTTTGTGTTTTTTTACAGTATTGTGAAATTTAATTATAGTCACACTTTGACATAATATTATTATTAGAAAAAATGCTTATTTGGACCAATTTTAAAAGATGGATTGTGCAGGACAAGAACAAATTTGGTGGTGCAGCAGCAAATATATCAAAAGTCTATTATAGATACACACCTTATGAGTAATGATCTAAGGCCACGTATGCCACGTAAGAGGATTTTAAAAAATGCAACCAATGTACCCAAATCCATCTATCTCGTGTTTGCCCTTCTAGTCTCTCTTCTTTAGCTATACTGTCTAATCCCCATTCTCTTCCGATCCATCGTTCGTTAAGTATCTCGACTATATCATTCTACTTCACGGGAAATTCTTTAAATTCTGCATTTATATAATAGCTAATATTCTATATCATACCGTCCATAGTTGATAGGGCCATAAATGTCCCTTGGTTTGGCAGTATTTTGAATATCCGTTTTGAAACCAGAAATCTCAAATTGCAAATTCTCTACGAAGCAACCCGAAGCCGTTATTTCGGAATGCGCTGGTAGTTTTCCCGGAATCGATTTTGTAAAATCTCTGTACAATTTCGCATTAAGGTCTTTTCCCTCCACGAATGGCACAGGTACAGTACCTTCCCGACTAAATAAAAACACAAAGTACAAAATACAAAAACTATTCAGTTCACGAGGAGGATATTTGGGAGAGTAAAAACAATAATTAAATATTAATAATAATCATTGCTCAGATGGCGAATGACCGACAGCGGGTAGTATCCGGTAAAGTTTTGGTATACGGCAACGACGCTTTCGATTTGGCGATATGTATTTATGATATTATGCCAACAGCACTAAGTACACACTCGGCGAGTCCAAGCGAGACACAACAGATAATGTACAATTTATTTTGTATTTTTTACCTTAAGTTACAAAATACAAGATACATGTGACTTGAAAGACAAAATTAGAAAAGTATTTTTAATACTTGTATTGTAGGTGCTGCCCATCATAGCTGGCCTCTCTGGCCTTCATTGCATCAAAATGCTTTAGAAGCCCCATGAAATCTCCGCGGACGCCTGTTTTTAGGGATTCGAAGCTCTTTACAAAACTGCTGTCTTGTGTTACGCACTTGTCTTGGTTGAAACTGTCCAACAATTGAATCACCTCGTTGAGAACACACGCGAGTTCGTTAAGAACGACGATAAACGGTATGTTATACTGGTTTGTGAACCTCGTTTTTATCACTTCAGTATAGATTTTGTAGTTGATTTTAAAACCGAGATTCTTCTCGATGAATCCTGCCCATAAACTGTGGAGATCCTGCTTTCGCTTGCTATCGAATTGGTGGACTGCGAATATTTGTTCGTCGTCTGTTCCTAATTTAACGTCAAAGTCTATTATATTTCCGTCCCACTGTATCGAATCGTATATGTCTTTAAAATTTTTATTTTGATGTATTGTATCCAAATCGAAATTCGAAAAATTTTGTTCCGTATGATTTAAGGCCCAGTTGATGTTGCATTTGTGCTCCCACAGCTCCTGAAATATTAAGTAAGCGGTTACGGTAGCGTACCTCACTAAAGTGCATTGATAAGCTGTTTTGATTATGCTGCGGATCGATTCGAATTCCGTCACAGTGCTGTTGTCACCTTTTTGCATAAAACGGTCCACAGCGTCCTTAACGTTAACAGCAGTTCTAGTACCATTGACATCTTCGTAAATTATTTGCTGCTTCATAGCTTCGTCCCATTCCTTAATGCCGGTGATTTGGCGGTAATAAATTTGTTTTAGTCTATTCAAATCTAAATAGTCAATAGACGATACGCAATAAACGCCGGAAAGACACAATAGAATCAAACTAAAATGACTAATCATATTGTTATTGTTTAGTGACGTTATATTCTTGCTGTAGCTTAAGATATACTGAAACATTTTTGTTAGTCGGTTCAACCCGTAATGTCTGTAGAACATTTATGAAAATATGTGGTGTGGTGTTAGCACAGCTGTTGGTTTATGTTCATTAATTGTTTACCTATGTTTGTATATATTTTTGAAGAATTGAAAATCACAGTTATATTGCGTTTCCCTTAAGTCAGCATTTTGTATTTGATGACTATTTTCATAGCCGATTTAAGTTATGTCCAAGGTGATATAATATATTATGGCTGAGTGTTTGAGTCAGTTTTTAGATAGGGTTGTGAGTTAAGTATTAACCGAAGGTTTTGAGAAAATAAGTAAAAAATTAAACAATTTTGTATTCATTGAAATAAACCAACAATAATATAATACCGTGTTTTATCTTTTGTACATTTGAAGGTAACTTAAGCAACACGGCGATTTAAGTCAACAAAGGCAACATTTGTAAAACTATAAAGTATTGTTTTTGTAAAATCACATTAACAATGTTTAAATACGAAAATAAAAAATAGGTGTTTGCTAAAATCTATGTAAACGTATAGTCTACCGCGCAAGCGAATAGTTCAAACACTCAAAATAAACAAACAACCAAATTAAATATGTTTTAAAAAACCGTTTTCTTACTAATAAAAAAACGCATACTCGTTTGTAGAATAACATTGCGCTGAAAATTGCAAGAAATAAAATAGCCAGTACAGTAGGGTCGGGAAAAAGTGGGGAAGGGGAGGTCACGGGTCTACAGGAATTATAATAATATTGTTGATCTATGATTTTTGATAACCTTCGAATTTTTTTTATAAATTATATCAAGTTACATTATCAAATGCTCACACAAATGCAAAAAAACAATGTTCTGATTTATATTGTACTTGATTTGGACTGTGCTGGCTTACGCTGTACTGGTTCAGACTGTAATTGGTTTAAACTATGGTGAACGTTATAATGAATAACGTTTTACATTTTTTTGGTCCGAGAACGTTATACCGAATAACGTTATCATTTGTTTTACCCCGGGAATGTTAAAACGAATTTTGCTAAGTTAGGTTAGGTTAGCAAAAACAGTGATCTAAAACTGGTTATCGACCAGTCAAAATGTTTACTACATAATTCTTTATCACTATTTTTGTTAACCTAACCTAACTTGGCGAAATTCATTTTAACTTTCTCGGGGTAAAACAAATTATAACGTTACTCGGTATAACGTTCTCGGAGCAAAAAATCTTCTGATTTTCTGATTTCGGTGTTGAAATTTTCGGTGTTATAAAGTACATATATTGTATTTATTAGGCACTTTATAAATTATGTATTAAAGAAATGAAGATTGTATAAATATTTTAAGTAGACTTTAGGAGGAATCGAAAACAACCGAGGGCCTCTCGAACATCTGAAGATATATTGTAGTCAATAAGTAAAAAATAATGTGCACGTTTATTGTTCAAATATTAAAAAAAAAAAATGTGTTTTTGTACTTTACGCAAAAATATTATGGTTACTCGTGTACAAATTAATCGGATTGGAAAAACGCAGTACGGTGTGGTCGGGTCATAGTGGGGATGGGGAGGTCACAATTGTACAGGAATTCACATTTTTTTTTTTTGGTCATGCCAAGAGGGCTAGGTTTACATGGAGGTGGCTAGGGCGGGAGTTTTTCGTCGGATATCACCGCCTCGGGAAGAATAATTGTAAATACACCACTGCCCGTAGGTCTTCTGTGTCAACAAAGTGCACGTGCGTGTATCTCTATATGCGATACTTAATCGCTAAAGACGGTTTTTTGCGTTTCAACGATATTTTAACAATCGACCAATTTAAATCATCAGCAGACTCGCTCGCACGCGTCGTTGCATCGTCATTGCACGCAAGGTTTAAAAAAAAAAAAAAACTAACAATAATAATCCGATTGATGACTGCCGCTCGTTATTTCAATTAACCCGTACTTAACAGTGTACACGTGTGTTGTATGTGCACAAGTAGTACTTCCCGACCACGGTCACGGACTTTGCCTGTTAATTGTGCTTGGGAGCAGAGAAGTTAATTGACATTAATAAACCGTTCGGCTTGCGCGTGGGTAGCTTCCGCAACGCCGAACGCGATTATATTATAATAATAATATGTTCTGAAAAAGTATCCGTTTTTAACGTCAAACGAAACCGACAGACGATAATCGATAAACTGATAACAACAACAACAAAAATATTTATATATTCCAGATCTAAAAACAGAGTATGCACTTACTTAACATAAGTTTTTGAACAGGAAAACGAAAACTTAAAAAATCGTTTTCAGATAGATGTTAGATGGTTTTTAACCCGATCTACATTTTCCCAAAATGTTCGGTATCAGGTTTTCAAATTTCAAAGTCAATTATGTAGGATTAGGTATTTAAAATTTGTACACGGTTTTAACGCTAAAGCTAGAAACCTGATAAATATCTGATTTAGAAGCATCGGCTGTGACTAACAACACTATGTATACTATAACTAGTGTTTACTGTACTTGAAAATGTAATACACAAATTATTAGTTCGACTTAATTTTAATACAAAATATTATGTAAATGATTTAAACACATTTGATTAATTTATACTTGAGAAAATGAATCACAAGGGCCGTGAGACCGAGCTTAGAATAATAATTAGTTTTACATTGTCAATGAGATGTCGTCATATCTTCAACAAAATAAAACTGAAACTATTGCTTAACGTCCAAACGAGTAAAAATAAATGTTCAATAGTTAAAAAAACACATTTATTTTTTAGTAATTTAGTAGTTATTGCTTTTTGACGAGACGAGAGCACCTAATTGTATTAATTAGAAATATCTAAAAATTAAACTACAAGTTAGCCGTGGGACAACAATATAAGCAACAGTTACTCAAACATATAATTGTATAATATATATAACACAGTTAAAACATTTTTGTTTATTATTAAACGATTATAGTGAGTATCAGAGTATACGATTTCAACTAAGTTACTTATTGACTCGTGAAATGACAAACATTCGTATTTTATTATTCGAACATTTATGTATCTGTTTAAATAAAATAAACGTTATCAAAGACCATTGAAAAGCAAACTGTATATTAATTACTACTTATTCGCGAACGTCACACTTGTAAAAATGTTATTCAAATAGAGATGTATTAAGATAAAACAAACTTAATAAATGGTAAATAATGAATAATTGCACTTAATTTCAATAATTCATCAGCTGTTTAACGAATGTTTCATTTGTTTGTTATTTTTTTATTGAATTTCTAAAAATTTTACTTAATAATTCGTAATTACAATTTTTTTTATTTTAAGTTCCAATATAGATTACTATTTACTCATATTTTGCTGCATGCTTGCATTTTTAGTCGTTAAATACAGTAGGCTGCGTGTGGATCATCGAGTCCGGTATTTTTCGAATAAACCATAAAGGTAATATAGACTTATCTAGATTTATAGACATCACTTAGATTTCATATCTAAATACATTTAAGCCAACATTTCTGGACAAAACAAAGCGTTGCTAAACAATTATTTCGTAGGAACGAATGCTATTTTAAAAAATTAATTGTTGGCAACTTTGCCAGAAGATACTATTGTATTCTATACTTAATACATTGTCTTGGTTGATAAAGTGCTGTTCTCCTGTTGTATTCTCAGTAGGCACTATTGTGACGGCCGGTTTGATTGTAATTGTTTCGATTCAATCAAATAATAATTTGAACGTCTCGATTAAAAATGTGCTTTTATAGTCTGGTATTGGATTAGCAAAAAAAAAAAAAAAATGTACTTATAAATTACAATTAAATCTTATTTACTTTTTGATTGATTGTATGGTATAGAAATGTGTTGCCCATCGTCGCAGAAGATAATAATAATAATTATATCGGGCAAAATTCTTGAGATAACTTTTTTCATATATTATTTGAACGTCGGATGTCTTTAACATTGTTTTAATTACATTTGTGTTTGTCGTTTTAGTTTACCAAACATGACAATACCAACGTGAAGTGAGTTAGCGCGGTCAACCAAATTTCTGTTGCTTGGAAATCATGAAACACGTAGAACCATGTAAGTAAACGTTCAACTAAATTGTTATTACAAGTAATTAATGAAATATAAATATTTTCGGGAATTACAAACTTCGACTGTGAACTAGTTACAATGGCCATTTAAATTGATATGATCTGTAAAGCATAGAAAACAGCAAAACCGAAACGAATTTCGCCACCAAACATTTTTAACATATTGTAATTTTCTCTAAGAGGAAACCGGTTTTCTTTGACGTCCTGTGTCACATCTCTCTTTTAACATACATAACTTTCTGTTTTAATATAACAACGGATTAAAAAGTATTTTTTTTTTCAAATGTTATTAGTATACTATGTCCATTGATCTTTTCTAGCTAATGGCGTTTGCCTATGTTTTACATGGTCAGACTATTTGAATCTTCTTATATTAAACCTTGTGCTGGTAAAATTCTTGATTTGCATATTTTTTTCTGTTGTGTTTAGTTTCGTACAGCCCAAACAGGAAGAAACCGCTAGAGAAGAGGTCATGCACAGATTGTCTGTGCTTCCTTGGCTTCATAACGTTCATAGCCTGTTGGGTCCTGTTGGCGTATTATGGTAAGGCTTGTTTTCCATTAAACAGAGATAGAAAAGATCCCAAAAATTAATTAAAATGTTTGTTTTGTTAAGCTTATCAAAACGCCGACCAAGAGACGTTGACCTCACCGATGGATTCGGCCGGAAGGGTGTGCGGGCACAGTAAAAACGTGACGAACAAACCTTATCTGTTCTTCTTCGACCTTACAGAATGTACTTCTCCCATGATCTTCGTCCACGGTTGCCAAACACCACAAGTGAGTAGACGATATTCGCCATGACTTCTAAGTGTAAAATGTGAAAATATGACTATTTCAGGTGTGCGTGGAAACGTGTCCGGAGAAAGATTGGGCCGTGAAGAGCATATTGGAAGACCGAACTGGCCGTTACAATTGGCCGGTGATACAAAAAGACCTAGTTTGCGTCTCACCTGATCTCAATAAATTAGTCACTTCCATTGATACTCTAAAGAACTTCACCGATTCGAATCTGTGTGCCAAATACTATATTAAGAGTTCACCAAGTACGTCGATTTTATTATAATGGCTAAAATCTCAGATTAACGAATCTAACCTAACGGACAGACATAGAAGTGGTACTTATGGAAATCAATTTTCATAGTCCTTCTAAACCTAAACCAATAATCTGGGTTTCGTCAAATAAAATATGACATTTCCATTATCAAGTAATGGTGAAGAGTATAATCTAATTTTTTTTTCTTTCCTAATAACCAATATTAATTCTTTTAGAAGAGCTGTTAATGGCAATCGAAATTAACCTTATAGTCTACAATATTTATCCTCTAAAAATTGTTTTATCTCGAGATTCTTATATTTTTCATTAGTATTAACTCTATAGTATGAGCCAGATGAGCTAATATTATTTTTATAACAATTTTATCCGACCTGCATTTTGGTATCCGTTCTTGTCTAATTACAAAAAACGCACCATTACGTTTACTGAGTAAATTAAATTTTTAACCAGTTAGTGAGAACCAAAAGGGTTTAAGAGCAATTTTTTCAATAACGAGTTTTCGTCCATATAGGTTTGACACTTTCAGTATGTTTATTGTTGTAATGAAACCTATTTGTAAAGTTACGTTAACAAAATCAATGAATATCAAACAATAAGCATACATTAATCCTATTAAATCACGTGCACCCTCTTTTTGGTTCTCATCACTCCAGTATTAATAGAATATTGTTGTGGGTGTATAACAACGTTGTTTTAACTGTTAAGTTTCAGTATTCGGGTATTGTGTTCCTACTCTGACCGACGTCGAAAGTTTAAAATACTTTACCAACAGTAACAACATTATACTGAGCAATTTGGCGGAAGGCATCAGCATGGTACAGTTGGTGAAGGACTCGAAAGAAGTGAGTACTTAACGGGCCTCGTCAAACGGAGCCTATCATTATTAAACGCTGTGGGAAATTAATTTTATGTGTAGGGCGCCAAATTGATGATGGACGACATAGTAAACAGTTACAGGTATATTCTGGGCGGCCTCCTAGTGGCCTTGCTATTCAGTCTGTTCTACATACTGTTGATGAGATGGTTCAGCTGGCTAATCATTTGGTTGTCTTTGGTCGCCATCATTTGTCTTTTGGGTTTCGGTACGTTAAACAGCTTCTCTCTTTCAAATTCGACAGAGTTTTTATTTTTACCACCGTCTACCTTGCAGGTACATACGAGTCTTACCTCAAGTACTCTTCGTTTAAAGACACCGAGCCCGAAGACGAACCGGTAATAGACCCTTCGAGTGACGCGGGAAAGCAAAGCCTTAAGAATTACATTAACGAGAAATTGAATAAAAAATCGACTTGGCTGGTTTTCACTTTGGTGTCGGCATTAGCGTTGGTCATAATGTTTCTCATCGTCATATTCTTGCGCAAACGAATCAGGCTGTCCATAGCCCTAATAGTGGAAGGCAGTCGGTAAGGGCAGAACGACCACTCTTAATGTTGAAACTTCACCTAGCTTGCCTACTAACCTACTAAATTGATGTCGACATATTTTATGGTTTGTTTTTAGAGCTATACTAGAGATAAAGACTTCGCTCATGTTCCCGTTGGTACAGTGGACGCTGTACATCGTGGTGTTGATGTGGTTCCTGGCCGTCGCCTTGTGTTTGTCGTCCATGAAACTATACGTGTTCAAAGTGAAAAATCTCAATAACGACTACGATTGCATTTGCAGAGATGACTACTACAAGGTATGCACGGACAGGACTGTAGGCATTGGCCTACATATCCGAATTCGATGTCGCCTATTTCATTCTCAGCATGCGCATACCTTCCTGGCCATCGTCACCTTTCTTGTTGGTTTAACTGTTCCTATAAGCTGCCATTTTTTACATTTTTATCTACCATCTCCAGACCACTGTGTAGGACTGTGTTGAGTATTTAAAGATATGATGTTTTCCAACTCTTATGGCGGCGATGTTGTCCGAAAAATATAGGAAGGCGACTGGTGCACGGAATCCAAGTGGGAACGGCATTGCATGTACAGCCGGACCAACGAGTCTTGCAGAGTGGCCAAATGCGCTTTTGACCACGCCGTGTCCCAGGATTTCATCACGGCGCTGCAGGGGTTTAACGTGTTTGGGATGTTCTGGCTGATGAGTTTCGTGTCGGCGTTCAGTCAAATGGTATTGGCCATTACGTTCGCCTCGTGGTACTGGACTTTCCGCAAGAAGGACGTGCCGTTCTTTGCGCTCACCACGTCCGTCTACAAGACGATCAGGTACGACCGCCACGGGTGTTTAAAAACAAATGCCACGGATGATGTAGGTTACCCCACACTCGACGTTAATTGATCGCGTGTGTCGTTATTGTGTGTCAAAAGGTATCACCTGGGCACGATCGCGTTCGGTTCTCTGATCATAGCCGTGTGCAACTTCTTGCGGGCCGTTCTCGAATACGCGGAGACCAAACTGAAAAAGTACGACAATGCGTTCACGCGAGCCATTTTCGCGTGCATGAAATGCTTCTTTTGGGTGCTCAACAAATTCCTGAGGTTCATCAACCGGAACGCGTACATCATGTGCGCCATGCACGGCAACAACTTTTGTAGTTCGGCCAAGCAGGCGTTCGACTTGCTGCTGAGGAACGTCCTGCGAGTGGTGGTGCTCGACAAGGTAGACCCAGCAAGTGTTCGACTTGCTCGCGAGAGCCGCGATAATGGTTTTTTTCGCCCGGATGGCGGATACATCATTCCATAAATGACGTGACGCAAATTATCGTTGGTTTTTCAGGTAACCGACTTCATATTTTTCGTCGGCAAGATTGTCATAACGGGCGCCACCATTGCCGCGTTTTACTTCTCGTTCTACGAACCGTTGGAACCCCTCAAACAGTTTGCCGACGTGTTCGACAGACAATTCACACTCAACTACAAGTGGCTGCCCATGGTCATCGTGGCCGTGGGGGCATGGATCATATCTGCAACGTTCTTCCACGTGTACTCCATAGCAGTGGACACGTTGTTCTTGTGTTTTTGTAAGCATTTACTGATACAACAGTCAACGGCCTAATTAGTTTATGCCAAAAATTTTGTCTACTATCTTTCCTTGATTTCCAACCTCCACCCCTTCTGTGGCAAAAGCGTGTCACTAAACTTTTTCACCGACTCTCCCAGCCATATCACATGTCTTTTTGTGATTTTTTTTACTATGCCAAAATTTATTTTTAGGAATAAAAAACTTTCGAGTTTTAGTTAAAACAATTTTTCTATTGCCCTTTTATACTAATTTACACTTGTCGCTTGACTGTTTTTTTTTCTTCTTTTTTTGCTAGTGGAAGATTCTGAACGGAACGACGGATCGTCTGAACGTCCGTACTTTATGTCACAACGACTAATGAATATTTTGGGTACCAGAAACGCCCAGTCGTTCGCGTTGCATTAAAGCTGTCGACCGCCATAACCTCAGTGTCGCCTCTTCCTCTGTGTAATGTGTTCATATCATTTTATTGTAACGGAATTTCCCTATTTTACATAAACATTTTTTTTTTTACTCATGTTTTTAAATTATTATCACGTTGTAATAAGCCTACATTTTTACTACTATTTGTTGTGATAAGGAAAATACGAGCTTTTGTATGCTTCTAATTAATTTTTTAAGGCTGTTTTATTATATACCTAATATTGCGGTTATATGTATTAAGTTTATATAAACAATTTAAGTTTCACTAAGAAAAATATATTATTTATATGTTTCCATGTGTATATAAATATTATTACAAAATAAATAAATTATATTTTATACGTTTATGATAAAATAAGTTTGTTTATATTGAAATGAGTTATATTAGTTTTAGTTTTGTTTGTCCAAAAACCGTATCAACGACCACTTGTCTACTTGAAATACAAGTATTATCGGTGACTTCTCTCATCTCCTTTTTGAGTGTCCTTTCCTTAATTCCGAAAGAATTTCTCTTTTTAATTTCCTTGCCTCGCATGGCATCTCTAATCCTAACCCAGCTCTCATCCTTAATTCCCGCGTTTTTCCTGTAATTAATGCCACAATATCCTTATCCTGAGCTCTAGTTATACTATATAGTTTTTTTCTTTCTCTTTCCTATCTATTTGTTGGCTTGTTTTTTTTTTAAACTTAACTTTACTTCTTGCCTTTTTTATTACATTGTTTGTAATTTCCTTTATGTACATATTACCTATTGTAACGCTCTTCTATTTTTGTTTAAATAATAATTTGTAATTATCGAGCCATCATATTTCCCAATAAAAGCTAATAAAAAAAAAAGTTTTTTTTAAGTACCTAGCTTCAGTTTTTAAGACTTTTAAATTAACTTTTTTGCCCAAATTATATTATTTCAATAAAAAATTATTAAAACACTATCACCGGTCCAATCTAAGATCCTAACGTAAGGCTGTTGTCCAAGTGTCACCAAAATTTTAATCTACAAAGTTTACTAGTTAATGGCTGATGATAAAAACAAATAAAAAATTAAGAACTTGGTTTGCTTCTTTAGACTTTTTTAATGTAAAGCAGAAAAAATGTTATACTTAAAATGATGACATATTTTATTACATTATCAATATCTTTGAAGGTTTTTCTCTCTATCTAATATGTATACTAAAAAGTCCTTTATCAATTTTTACCGAAGTATATCACACCTATCATATACACCACATACCACAAACCCTATTACAAAATTATTTGTTGAAAATAAAACGTATACAGCACATTTAAGTTTTCTGAATTTTCCATATATAGTTTATAACATCAATATCTTACTCTACGTTGAGTTTTTATATCAGATCTAAAGGAATAAAAAGTGTTTGATTGTGATAAGATCAACCCTTATTAAATTTTTACGTGGACAATTTTCATTTTTTTTTTACGGTTTTAAGCTTTCGAAAAAATTGAAAAATGTTTTTTTTTTACATTGATCAGTTTAAAAATTGCTCAGTACTCCATTAATCATGAATGTGACACGGTTATGATCAGTTACCGAATGCAATCTGGCCAAAATATTCAGTTTTCCTCAATAGAATTTTTGGTTAAATGAGTATTTCGTGCTCATGTAGTTTTATCGAAAATTGGCCATATATACTCATTTAATAAATAATTGATGTTTTAATGTTAAAGGATGTGATGAGAAAAAAAAAATAATCATTTGTGTCCAACTTAAAATGTAAGTTATATTTTTTGTGAAATGTCCATACAAATAAAACAGTTTTATTTAAGCAACCAGAGCGGATGCAGTACTGGACTCGTACTTCCAGTTGGGTGCAATCTTTGATTTCCGTTTGTAGTACCTTGCTAAACGATGGATACGTGACTCAACCAAAATCAAACGGAATTTAGAATCTCTATCTTTCCTAAAAATTTAATTATGAACATTATATACTGGCTATAGTTTTTTAAATGATTAACAAGAAATTACCTGTTTCTTTCCAAATGCTTCCTGATTGCAACAGCTTTCTTGATTAAATGGTACAAATCTTCAGGGAGACCCGGAGCCAAACCCATTGCTTTCATGATCCTAAGAATTTTGTTTCCAGTCACAAACCTGACTTGAGCCACACCATGGGAATCTCTGAGAATAACACCTAAAAATTGAAAAAAAATTGTTAATATATGAAAACATTTCAAATGTTACATAAATTATTTTTCCATTTATTTATTTTAAAATACATTGTCTATTTTATCAGATACACCTCTTTTAATAAAACTCTTCAGTGTCTCTCAAAGTAAACTCTAACATCACAATGCAATATAATAGAGGAAATATATTTAAAAAAATAAAAATAAAACCTGATAGAACGAGCAATTAGTTATGTTCTATTCTACGCAATTGCAAGTTGAATTTTATTGTTTAATTATGCAGTATCAAAGCCTCTTTTACTATTTAAAATAATAACCATTGCTCTCAGACAAATGCCTCGATAAGTCTGCATATGAAACCAAAAAAAACTGAAAACCAGCTTAAAAAGGTGTTCAGAATGTGTGTAAAAGGATCATCATAGAGCAACAGTTTTTAATTATTTAAAAATGAAAACCTACTGGCTACAATAACTTCCTAAAAGTTCAATGGTTATTTATATTAATTTATTGACAACATAGCTATTTATATTTTTATAATATAGTACATAATTATAAACTTTACTGTAATATCTCTCAGACAAATGCCTCGAAAAGTCTACAGGAAAAACCTAAGAAAACCGAAAACCGGTTTAAAAAGGCAATCAGAATGTATGTATATGGTTCATCATAGAGAAACCGTATTTAATTACAATTGAAGAATAACCACAATTCTAGGAGAATCAAATGTCTTATTTATTTATTCATCAAATTATATAATAATCTACATTTAATTTAAGATTTAAAACAATTTGTTGATACCAACTCTCAGTCAAATGCCTCGATAAGTCTTCAAAATAAATAGAAATATAACTGAAAACCAGTTAAATTAATATTTCAGGTTTGAAATGTAAAAATCACATCATAGAGCAAAATAGAAGAAATGTGCAAGTAGTATTATATTATGATAGTTTAAAACAAACAAAATATAAATAATAGTCATAACTATCCATGTGAATTGATAGCACGCATGTGTCTACTTACTAAATTTAAATCAATTTTAAATATACATTACACGACTTTTTAAAACATACTGTTGTGATTATTTCCATAAAAAAGGAAACAAAATCTAAGCCATGATCATTATCGTAACAATAATTGCAAGCCAACATCATTATAAAATAAGATAAACATATTATTTAATATTTAATTGTTTGTTTAACATTAAAGAAAATACTATTAGGGATTTAATGGTATTAAGATTTTAAAGACTTTAAAAAATAAACTGGGATCATACATTTTTAAAAAAGAAAAACCATCTACTTGGTCGTAGCTCATATAGCAAAATAATAGTTTATCTTTTAAGTATTATAGACTATTAAATGTTCATCACACTACAATAAATAAAACATTACCGATTTTGGACGGAGTCAATCCTTTTTTGGCCAACTTGAAGATGTGGTCTTTGACATCTTCGGATGACGCTTTCAACCACGTAGCTATGCTGCGACGGTACGGCAATGCCGATTTCGAAATACCTTTACTGGAAAATGCAAACACCAAAGAGTGAAATACTGTTTCAAAACCATGTTAATGAGCGACACGAGGGAATATGGGAATATTTAAAAATGTGTTGTAATAAAGGCATGTACGATCGGTAATGTAGGTAGTTTATCATGTCAAACAATGAGTAAACTTCAAAATTATTAATAATCACATGAATACTTACCCTGGGGTGTGCATCCGACCCATTTTGACGTTTGGTTATAACAATTCCTACAAAAAAAAAACCGAATTAACGTCCGAGAAATTATTAAAATTTCGGAACAAAAATTTACACACGTTAAGTGATCTTCACATAACCAAAAAGAATAATAGCGTTGTCCGATATTATTCAGTTCGACCAAAGAGTAATCAAAGTGAACTCCAAAGACGTTCTAAGCGAGTTGTAGTTGTTTTTTCCATGACATCCCGCCTAACGATGACGATTAGCAAATTTCAATAATGATTTCATTCTTTTTATTATTATTATTGTTTTTTTCTTAGTTAGGCGATTTCATTTTTTCATTACATACCAATTGCGATTTAAACCATAGTGAATATTATAACAAGCTTCAGGCATAAGTTAGCTATAGCCCTCTCGGTCAAATACGCCATACAAATATTGTTATTCAATAAACGTGTAAAATATTAAAAAAGAAAGGTCATAACGCATTTTTTAAAAATATTTTACAACGTATATAAAAGATAAAATAAAATAATATTTAAAACACTTAACGCTTGGAAGAACTACCCCCAACTCAAAATTATACACTCTCCTCGTATACGACGTATTTCGGCAACAATGTTGTCATCTTCAGCACTAACGACAGACTGATAAAAGATTACTATGAATTTTCTTTTTATCATTTATGGCAAATATAAAAAAGGGTTTTCTTATTTACTAGCTGAAGGTAAAAATCAGTGTCCATCTTCGGAGACCAGCATTGTTCGTCATTTAACATTTACATAGGTCATGTATAGGTAATATACAATATGCATAATTTTTAAAACCTATATAAAGCTTAAGTTTTAATTTTATATAATTGAAAATCTATATTTTCTGTAAGCAAACAGTATTGTTTTATTTTTTATGTTTATTTCTTCTATGCATAGAATTTGGATAGCATAGATACTAATATAGACAAATAAAAATAATATGCAGCAATAAAGCCACAATGGCGTACAACACTGCACTGGTGTCTAAAGATGACACTGAAATGTATACGAAAGGTTAGTTTGCAACACGTTAGTTGCCGTGTATTAAACAAAACATAAATATGATGAAAAATAATAAAAATAAGAATATTACCAATATAAGAATTACTTATAGCCTAGATTTTCCTATTCACCTGATTCCGCATAATTAATTTATGATTAAGCTCTCTCAGTGGAAGTATATTATAATAAGAATAATTGTTCAAGGGGAATAGTGTGGCTCATATGTCAACCCTTTTGGTTAAGTCGTGTACATTGCAAGTTCTAGGGGGCCTGGTGACAACCTTAACATTTTAGTAATGATGAAATGGTCCCAAACCAATTTTTAAAAAAAATATTCATATTTATTCAAAATATTAATGTTTTTTTAATTTGGATTTTTTAAATTAAAAAGTTGATTTTTATACATTCAAAAGTTTAATTTAAAATAAACATTTTCTATATAATAAAAATAATATACGTAACAATAATAAGGAATTTTTGTTTTAACACATATCTTTTGATTTTTAGAAACTCTTAATGATCATAAGTATTACAAAAACTTATCAAAAGATTGCCATTTTTACATAATATAGCATCACAGTTTATCACTTCGCCTCTCATAACGTTTCTGAAATTATTCAAAAAGTAAATTCTTTGTCTTGCGTATGCATACCACTTTGTCGTGTTTTCTTTATTATTAAAAGTGCCAAAAGATACATGCTCCTCGTTGTCCAAGGACCAGTCTAACCAGCAAACTAGTCCATGGCATATTCCTTCACTACAAACATAAAATACAAACAATGGTTTTAATTTTTGGTAGATTATTTATTTCATTACTTATCAATCCTTTTAAAAATAATACTTAATTAAAATTATAATATTTTAACTATCATAAATTTTATAAATGTTAATAATTACTCAAAGATGATTTTTTCTTACTTTTTTATGGTAACTGATTGTGTATTTTTCAGGATTAAGTTTGAAGCAGTAGCAATATTTTCGAAATTCAAAGTAAATAATTCATTAACATCGGACAACGCTTTGCTAGGATATTCCCATAGTGGTTTTTCCTCTAATATTCCATCGGATATTTTAATACTCTCCTGAAGAGAAAATTAAATTAAATTTTTACTTCTTGTGAGAAATAAATAATTACATTACACATTAAAAATTTAAAATATCAAGAAAAAAGTGAATTATAATAAAGTTGTATTCAACTGTAACTCACTTGAACGATTTCGTTAAAAGGTATTATTTCAAATCCTTCGACTTCCATTATCGGAGCTCGTATTTTCCATAAATCATCAAATTCGACTGCTTGAATTTTTAGAGTTACATCCTTTGGAAATACAAAGGTATTTGAGTTCACTTGTAAGGCATATCGCACAATATCAATCCATTCCGGCAGAATCCATTTTGAAGGTTCCATAAACACAGTTGATATTTCTTCGTTGGTCTAAGTTTTTTTTTTTTAATTAGATGACATAGTAGAAAAATAATTTAAGTATCTTTTTTTAATATGGTGGTGTAATCATAGGTACACGCTGTGTACTTTTCTAAGAACGCGAGTACTCGTAACATAAATTTTGTACTCTATATCCGTCGGTACACACTACATATATACTTTTTAACTACACCACTGACTAAATAAGGTGGCATACATACATTTTTTTGCTTTTCAATTACTTCTATTACTTCTTTGTATGATGTCAAAAGAACAATTTGATTTTCCAATCCATTAACAGTAATGAATGATTTTAAGACTTTACGGAAATGTTGTGGGCCACTGACATCATAATAATACACCTGTGAACAAAAGATGTTTAATCAATTTCAATAATTTATTTTAAAATTATCATTCTAGCTTACTTTTTTTGCACCAAATAGGGCAGCGGAGAGGCCTAAAAACGATAGACTGCCAACAAACAAACAAACACTATTCGGTTGTATATATTTTTCCAAAACGGTAAGATACTTGTTAGTAACAGAATGATCGTTCATAAGTCCTATAAGGGTTCGACACAGGATACGATGGAAATCACATTCACAATATGGGAAAGGCACGTCAACATGAGCACTAAAAATATACATAAACAGCCACGTTTAATCTGTCACGGTATTAAATATTATATAAATATATTTAAACAACAAAATATTTAATCACTTTGATTTGTTTGTGTCAAACCAAAAAGATAATTCATCATGGTAACCAATTAAATTGACTTCCTCATTGGTTTTTACGTGAACCTCGTTTGTAAAGTAATACACTCCTTGTATCCAATGATCTCTCCACGGAATTACTCGATTGTCTGTATAACGCCACTTTGGTGCACAGCTTAGTATTATCTCACCGTCCATGTCCATAGCCAAATCCCACCATACAAACGCAGCATGAGCAACACCGCTTTCAATTGGCTTACAACGTATGGCATTTTTACGATCCGTTACTACTCCATTTTTATCGCTCCAGTTAAACCTGCCAAGTGGAGTATAATTCATACTTAAACCATAAAAACACATGATTAAAAACTAAAATTAATTACCTAAACATCACTTGTGCGGGGACGAGTGTTTTGAATAATTCTGTAGGCAATTCGCCCAATTGTAAATCAAAAACACTCTCGATGCCTTGACATTTTTTAACGTTTTCTGGAACTTTCATAAATAATTTACCTTTGTGATAAATATCATTAACTCTATTGAAATTTCTTATGAATTCACTCTCAACAACTTGCGCGTAGACAATTGCTTCTGACGGTATTACAACACAATCATCCTAAAAAATAAATTTTATTAAATTTTATTTAACAGCTTTGTATAGTTTGAGTAAAGAAAACATTATAATAAAAATATTTATCCTAACTGTTAAGAGTTCTTTATGAGCATGGTTGAACACTGATAAAGCTCCTTCGCCTATTAGCTCTGTATCAAACACTTCAGTAACTAATAAGTTCAAACGATGTGGAATATCAACACCAATTTTGAGTTTTTGAGAACTCTTAGGAATGACAACAATTTTGTCTTCAAAACCGTTTAACCTTATTATTTCTTTTGCACATTTAAAAGATTCTTCAAATTCCTAAACAAAAATAACAAGTAGTTATTAACAATTTAAAGTTTAAACAAAAAAATCATCATACTTCACAGGCATAGACAGAATCTGCACCACATTTAGCAGCCATCATGGCCAGCAAACCAGTGCCCGTTCCTATGTCCAAAACATGTACTTCTTTATTAGCTTTGTGCAGTCTGGTTATTTCTTTTTTCAATGCTTTGTAATACAATTGATTCTAACAAATATACAGGAAATGTTGGACAAATTAATAGGATCAAATATTTATATTATTGATAATTTTGCATTAATGTTATAAGAAAAAAACAATTTACTCGATCAGTGTCATAAAGCATATCACCAAATGCAGCTCTGGCTATGTTCTGGTAATGGTCAAAATCCATCATGGAATTTATATTATCTAACTCTTCCATGTTAATCTGAAACATTCATAAATTACTTATTAATAAATTTATACTTTCTTAACAGAATAATTTGTTGATCAATTTTTGTTTAAAAGTTAATTCAAATTTTTTGATTGGCGAGTTGGAAATCGTGAGTAATTTTGAATACATTTTTATTTGCTCCGTTAAAATTGCCATATCAATTGTTTTTTACATACACACATTATAAAGATTGATGGTCGATAGTACTCATATGAAAATAACTTATCAAAATATCATCATTCCATTGTAACTGTTTTCAATAAATTCACTTTTTTTTTTAATCACATGCTTTATAATCATTAACTATTAGCTAACATAGTGTTGTAATTAATCGTCAGCTTACGATTGACAATAGTTGTCATTAACATATTAAGCTTTAAAGGTACACCGTAGGCCAACAGATATACATTATTTAATGTCGTACATAGATAACAATGTTAAGTTGTACAAAAAATTAACTTTTTTAACCTGTGTGTTGAAATTTCATGGACAGTGTTCTTTGTTCAAGGAACAATAATGGTTTTAATAGATTTTTGAATACCCAATTAATACGACTAGACTAGGCTTTTTGCTTTTTAAACAAAAAGCCTTTGTGGTTTGTTGTTGCGAGCTCGGAAAACGTGTTTACGAAAACTAGCAAAACGACGTCTTTGATGTGTAAGCGTGCTACTAAATAAATCAACAGTAAATCTTTCTAGTTGAGCAATAAACTAATAGGCTACGTACCGGCAGCGTTCGGTCTCGTTTTGGATTCCAGTACGAAGTCGAAACTTCGGACTAACCGGTGCTGGATTTGTATTAATGGTAAGTTTAAACGAAAACAACAACAACAACATTTAAATACATAGCACGCGCATACGGTGGGGTTTGTGATAAGAGATAAGGACGGCGGCAAACGAATTATCACACTAGTCGAATGACCTTGAAATTTTAAACAGATGTTTTTTGTCTATTCGGTAGTATGCAGTATTTGTTGGCTGTACCTATTTTACGAATTTTGCCACAATATCTGTTACCTGTTATTTCGTAATTCCGGAATCATTTTTATCAAAATTTACAATAGACAGCGCACACGTGCAACACGTACTTATTTGTAATACCGAATCAAAGGGGTATTACTATTAAGTGCTTATACAAATTAATCTGAAAATATATAGATATTGTCGAAATTTATTAAAAACCACTTTATTCGCTTCACTTATCTATATAAAACTACTAAAATACCGCCCGCTTTTAATGAAATATTTTTTAACAATTTTAAATTTAACATTGAGTCTCATAACATCCGATGTTATGATTAAACATGTTCCATAACCAAAGTGGTAAATTTTGGAAAGGTGACCCTCGGTCCTTTCTCGTAGATTCCGATTTTTTAAATATTTAAGAGGACGTCATAAATACTTAATCGTTAAATCGTGTTTATGGAAAAGTGTGTAGGTCATAGAAAACAAATTTTGATACCGTTAAAAAGAGAAGAGCTTTTAACTAGGTTCTTTCGTCGGGAATTTTAGACAATTTAAATTTTACTTTAAAAACAAGCACTTAAAACAGTAAAAAATGTCAGAATAAAAATATAAATTGTGAACGTTGGGTTAATAATATAAAAAAACCGACGAGAGAACCCTGATAAAGTTCTCATTATTTTGTGTACATGTAAAAAAAATGAAGGGCACAGGGGAAATACGGTAGTTGTCACATTATGAATATATTTTTTTTTTCAAATAGTTTTTTTCAATTTATGCCAATATTTGTTTTTATTTATGTCAATAGATTGTTTAAATAAATACATTTATTGTTAGAGTAGTTGAATTAAAAATCATAAAACTGAATATAAAAACTAAAAAGTTATTCAAATAAAATATAAAAAATTCTATCGGATGATACATGTAATATTAGATATTGATAGTTAATATTGTAATTTTTTTCCATACAATTGGCTGTGATATTCTGAAAACAAAAATTATAAGTAATAACCAATAATGAATCTGCCTTACTGTATTAATAAGTATACACTTAGTTCAAGCTCTAAATTAAGATTATGCGAACAATACTTGACTAGGTGGGTGGCGACTAACGTCCTCTTAAATAAATATTTATTAATAATTACTAACTAACAATAAAAGAGGCGGCCACATTGGCAAACCCCGCGTAAAACACCGAGTAGATAACACAATTTACACAATCACACTGTTTTTGCCAGTTCATCAGTTGTGATAACTGTTTAATAATTTCACAAAAAAAAAACACACAAATTAATACGAGTGCAAATCCATTTGTATTTTATAAAAAACCTATTGAGCAGATAGGTTTAAGTTTGGTTAAGTAAGCTAAGGTATACAATTATTTGAAGTTTATTTAGTACCGTCAAATGTACTTGGATAACTTATGTACTGGATGATAGAAATACAAGTAGTGTAAATCCGTCATTAGTCACACTGTAGGATAAACCGACCGCAATATCGAAACTAAAAAAAACGTCTTGATTCAAAATAATTAACTGATTAAATTAATTATTTATTTAATAATTAGTTACCAACTAATTTGTGCGATTAAGGATAGGTTTTAAGGGGGAACAACATTATTAACCATTTTTGATAATTGAATCAGGCTTAAGGAAGTCTTGTTTTTTTTTTTTCAAAATCAAAATCCGATAAATACATTAGGTATCATTAGCTGCATTATATTACACAAACCAAAAATGTTTTGAAATTTAAAACCGTGACTAGATTGATACATCGAGAAGTATTGAAAGATCAGTTTAAAAAAAATATTCAAAACTATTGTCGGATTACGCGATTTAGAGTACGATTAAAATTAGAATGAGTTGTTTTCGACCAAAATTATGTCGATGTAGATTTTCCCTTTTCATTATATACATGGCAATTTTTGTAATTGGTCATTTTGTCCGTTGGGAGGATATTATTTCCTTGGCCAATATTTTCTAAATTTTAATCAGGATTTTACTAGTAAAGTATAACGTGTCATACATCACACGCGTGAATTGTATTCTTACTATTTAGCTGCTTTCTCGGTATGTGTAACATTTTGAATTCGACCATCGAAATGTTGTCAGCTACTGTGTACAAACATATATTATTGTAATATTTACAACAATCATGGTAGTGGTATTATTATTATTAGATATCCAGTAAACGTCGTAAACATTGTCGGTTCGTGCTTTGAAACAACAGAAATAACAAAAAAACGATTATTATCATTATGATTGTAATAAAAAAAAAAAACAAATAATGTCCCATGGCTGGCGGTACGGTTTTCTCTTGGCCGGGCGGTGGTCAGTGCGGTACATAGCACATGGAGTTGTGAGGACCAGACTGTGGTGACGGCCGTAGACCAAGTGCATATAAAATAATGTATACACCGCAGTAAGTTGAATGAACGCGGTTAGTGGTGCGGCCGTGGCGGACGCGTGCGGTTGTGTTTACGGCGATACGTCCATATCGGTTTTTATGCATATAGAATAAATTTGTATTTTTTTTTTTTTTACTAGTTTATTTTTTAGGTAATAATTAATTTAATACGCCTATTGGGTTAATGGTTTCCGTGAAATGATCCTCCAACATAATCGTACTCGCATTAACAGGTGAGTAAAAACAAACAAATGTTTAGCTATATTTGTATGGTCTTACTCGGGAAAATATTGAATAAATCGTTCAATAATAGATTACATAATATACCTACACCATCATCTATCGATTATTTAATGTCCTCGATCTTTTAAATTTGTGTCCACTCGACGAATGTTTGCTTCTCTAGTCGACAAAAAATTGTCCCAATTTTATCAACTTACAACAAAATAATGTATATTAACTTTAGTTGATATAGTGTGGAGATCTCCACTTATGTGTAAATAGTATTATTCCTCATTTGATAATACATGTCGCTATAGTTTTATTCGGTTGTATCTACTATTATCTTCATAAAACACTATTAACTCTTAAAGGTTTGGATAAAAAAAGTGATGGTCCATAGATGGGAAAAACTCCTTTTTATTTAACTTATCATTGAATACAGCGTATAACAATTTAAGAATTAAAAACAGTTTTAGGAACTTTGAAAAGTATAAATGACTTTATTTTCAATTTAGTTTTGATAATTTTAGTACAATCAAATATGTAAGGTTTGTACAAAAAAAAAGAACCTAAAGGTGTACAAGTGACATGATTTCACGAAAACAAGTATTCGATCATTCAGTATTTTTGTCAACGAAATCTATGTCTACCTGTGTTTTACAATTTTTCAAAGAGATATTGATGAAAATTAAAAATTAATCAACATCATCAAAAAGTACTAATAAAAACAATTTTTTCATTTGGTCTCTCGTAAAATTGTATAAAAATCACTTTACCCTTTTGGTTTTCACCACTACGTATGTTTTTTTTTTAAATTAAAAACGCCCGATTAAACTCATAAAAACCACAACACGAGGTATACTTCGCATATTACCTATTTCATCATAAAATGTAAAATATCACCCAAGCCCTTACTTTTTGAACTTCTTTTCAAAAAAATGACTATGTTATTGCACTTTGAATTGCGAATGTTTTGATGTTTTTCACGAAATCAATTTGGCCCACGAAATGTTTCTTTTCGCATTCCGCTTCACATATTATATTCTGTCAAAGTGGGTCGAGTTAGGAGAAGGAGGAGAGCTACAGACCCAGCTAGGTTTTATTAAAAAAGAGCCGAAAATGTTCATATCTATAATTTTATTCAATATTCACTTAATATAATAAAATATAACTATGTTAAAAATTCAAATAGGTCTCCTAATGCAATAAATCATTAATGTTATTTTTGTTGTGTGTAAAACACATTATTTGGATATCACGAAGTTAACAAATTTTAAATTGGTATAGAAGCACGTTTCAATCCGATTATAGGTTAACACGTTATACGTAAATTAATATTAGGTACCATTTATAAGGGTTATCGGTCCAGATTAGGTAAATACAACTTAAGGAATAACATTTTCCTAAAATATAAATTAAGGAAATTTCAGAGAAAACAGAAAAGCAACAAAATTGAAATCATAAAACCGTATAGTGTACATTGTACAGCGTGCAAATAGACGTGATAGTAAAATTGTGAATAATCAAATACAATTTTATTTCCATAGTTATTTTTGGATACTTCTTTGCTGGCTGGATTTTAGTTTTATCTGGAAATGTAATCATTTTGAAAGTTTTTTTTTAGAATTACTATGATAAAATGTTATGGAGATATAAGTTGTAACCTATGTTTTTTTCTTCTGTATTTGATATTTCCTATTATTTTGTTAATTAAGAAATAATAAAAATTATTAAGGTTTTTTTTTATTAAGATTTAAGTCGAAAAAAACGTTAAATAAGATGAAGTAAAAACATTCTGTTTTCGTTATTATTATTTTTTTAATTTTGAATAATTGCTCAATTTACTAAAGTAAAGGTATTATATTAAGGGATGAAAACCAAGTATCTACAGGTGAGCGAAAATAACTATGTTTTAGTATACCACGTGTGATGTTTATTAGTTGTCGTCAATATCGTTTTCTATAATTTATGACATTTTTTATGAAATAAAAGGTGTTATTGACAAGCATCGTATGATCAAAAACTTGTATTTAAAAAAATGTCACTTGTATACATTTGGTCCTCATCTACATAAGTATAAGAATTTATATTTAAAAAAGAAAACTGAAAAAATATAAACATTTCTGTTAACATGTCTGAATAACATGCACGAGGCTCAACTATGAATATTCTTTCACATAAAAACGGTTCATATATTTATTTATTTATACATAATATATGTATGTAACTTTAGCTCTGTTTGCATACCAACGTGACAGCGCGTCCTTTATGTGTAATTTAATTTAACTTTTAATGGAACATAATTAATGTAGAACCGACCAATCAACCTATCTGCTGACAAATGTGGTCTTGACAGAGTTCCTGATATTCCAGGAGACATAAGTCCAAATCCAAAAATATCTTATGAATTCGCATTTTTTATAGACCAAATACTTGTAGTACGCAGCTATACATATGTGTTTTAATATTATGTTGTAAAGTGTCTATTCTAACAACGTTCTCATATAATATATTTCTTTCCTATGTTGTCTTTACGCTTATTCGGTTATTCCTCACCCTTGTTGTTTTTCCCTTTGAACGAAAAAAGAATAGAAAGGCTAACGCTGACCACTTGAACGCTTGTCTTTGTTGTCTCCCGTATAAACTCTAAATTTGACCGATATAATGACAAGGGAAATAAATAATAAAGTTAACATTATTTAGACTTCAATGAGAACACAAATGAAACCTGATCTTTTATGCATGCAAGGAGCTATAATATTATGTCTCCGTGACTGTTAGGTTTGAATTACACAGACGAACAGCCAGTGCTTAATTTGAATGATGTTTTGTTATTACACATATTTAAATTTTTCATGATAGCCTAAATGTTTTATTTATATTATAAACAGACATTTTAAATGTTTGCAGTCAATATTTTTTAATAATAATAATATTTTTTTTAATTTTTTTTTTTATTTATATCATTGTAAGGTTTGCTTATTGCCATTAAATTAAAAAGGAAAATTTAAAAAAAGTTTCAATCTCTTACTGGGAATCTTTCGGCAATATTATGTAGATTTTGGGGTGCAAACCAACCGACCTAATCGGGTCGGTGGGTAAAAAGTTTTCGTCGACCTAGTCATAAAAGTAAAACATCTTAATATATACATTAGTATTCACATTACAAACCTAGTAATAAGGTTTTGAATAATCACATTCTGATTTTGAATTTTCTCACTACTATAGTAATTAATCACATTAAGAATGTCGTCAATAGTTAAATGCATCTTATGAACGATTAACGATGATATAATTAAGTGTTGATATCAGAGATCTGTCATGTCTACATTATTTCTTCACGATCGTTTTTAGTAAAAAATTCTTAAGTGTTTTCCAAATACATGACATATTCTTCAACTATAAAACAAGGGCCATTCTATCAGACCGATTTTAGTAACATATCTGACGGGGCTCTCTATCTTGTGATTGATTGTTTTTATGAATTTATTTTTATATTTTTGTCTTCATTATAATACTACCGTAACCTAACCTAATGGCTGACCTTTATTATAAAGTGGAAAACTGAATGACAAATGTGTGATTTAAACATAATTATTATTGACTGTAAGCCATTTTGCTTTTTTAAAAAGGGAAAAACTATTTCAATTGCATATATTTTTTTAGCTGTTCTATTCGTAGGATTTTAGGAATTCGAAAGAAGGTACTTTTAAATACTTACGCGCCATAGTTTTAATTTTTATTAAAATGTTTGTTGTTTAATGTCAGTTGTCAACTATTTTAAATGTTTTTCAATATTGAATATTTTCTAAATATCCGAGAATTGTTCGGAAAATAACGACGGTTTGTTTTTCAAAAAAATAGTTTTTTTACATTGATAGAGATTGATAAAGTTTTTTGAAAGAAGTCTTTAGTTTTAATTACATTAATCTAATACCACTGTATACTGTCTGGTATACTTAATAATATACAGGATTAAAATAAAAGTGGATAGTTTTTGAAATTATAGTAAATGAAAAAATACTTTTAATCATTTACGATATTGTGCACATACTATGTATGTAATTTATTGTGTTTATAATTTGTATAATTGAAAAAAAACTACATTACGATAATGCATTATCATAAGTTGTATAAAAGGTGATTTTTTTAAATTTTATTTGTAAAACCCGTAGGAGCAGGAAATTAATAACTCATTATTATGCTGATAGCAAAGGCTTATAAAAAGTAGAACGTAAATTTCCAAGAATCTCTATTGAAATTTGTGCCAGTAAAAAATAATAAACAAAACTGACATTGGTGATATCATCACGTTTTAAAAAATACATTAAAATTTTTTTTTGATAATTAGATAGAGAAATACGCAGTTGATATAATTAATTGAAAATAGAGATGTTTCACCAGTGCTGTTATTGTTGGAATACTATAACGACATATAATGCGCGCATTTTCATTATATTTTGTGTAATTAAAGAAGTCTATTGGTCATAGATACCTATTATGATGTACCCAATACCTACTGTGCAATATGGAAGCTCTGTTATATCACCGCAGGAAATCTTTCACGCTTCTTGCCCTTGACATAGCCCCGAATGTTTTCTGATAATACAATGTAGAACAAAATATATAAAAACCAAAAATCCTATACGTCCGTATTCAATTATATATTTTCCACCGTCTAAGTATGTTGTATTAAGACTATTCTTATAGTAGTAGTGTTCTTCGATAAGAACGCTGTTGTGTCGTGTACCGATATTCATCAAACATTTATTTTCGCAGTAAGTTTTAAGTTTTTCTTTTAAGTGATAGTAACAATTCTATTCGGACAGAGTGGTCATTTTCTTTAATTCACAGGGAAAGTTGAACTCTAGTCTTAATAAAAACGAATATAAGCAATCTGGGCAATATTTCTTATCTAACATTATATTATGAGATGCCTATTGTGATATAGTATCAACATTACTTAATTAGTAAATATTTTCAAATTAGACTAGCATAATAATTGTATACTTGCTTTTCGGTTACTCGCATTTCGCTAAATTCTAAATAGTTGGGCTTACTTAAAATAATTAGCTTAATTAAATGAATCATAAACAATTACAGCACCTAAGTAGGTATTATAAACTGTGGTTGTACTGAAAACTTTTCCAGAAACGGTTTTTACATAACATGGAAATCTAGGAAGATTAAAATTCACATTAACCTAATCTATACTCTATGATACCGTATTTGGTGAATAATATAGTTTATTATAGAAACGCAATAAGATAACAAATGAATTTATGAGAACTAAAGTGGTTCTTTTACTATTTACAAACAAATTTATTTTTCAACAAAAAAAATGTTTCAATCTTGCAGATTTATCAAACCTTTTTTCTATCTGTATTTTATTACTATGACGTTTTTTAAAGAGTTATGAAAAGAAAATAACCTACCGTAATATTATCATTTATATATCATGTGTTTGCTTTCTGATATGAAGTATTTGTTTTTTAGTTTAGCAATGATTTATACTATTAGTATTCCAAGCGTAACTTAATAGATACTTTTTATGTCTTGCTCGGCTACACAAGATGTAAAAACGGCCGACATGACTTACTATTTGGTTGACTCATACTGGAGTATCGATCGGCTTGCAGTGAAATGCTACGAAGGTGATGGAATTGGCTACTTTTTCTTTTACCCGGCGTCCCGTTTCCTATCCCGGTAATTGGTTACCGTAGTTCACTGTCCATATACAATATAAATACTAACCGCATGTACTTAAATGTCATAATAATTGTACATGTATATATTCTGTTTAAGCATTATAAATATTTAACTTTTAAACAGTTTTTGTCCATTTTAGATTTATGGTGGCCTCGAAAAACAATAGTAATAATATAATATCTTAAAGGATGAACAGTAGTCGTTATCGCCGTAGGAAATATTTCTTAATAAACGTGTCTTTAAATCGTGATGGAGGTGTAATAACGGTGGAAATATTTTTGTATGTAACAATTTGATGTACTCGTATTATTATGTCCAAACGTACAATTAAACTAACATACCGTGTGTATAAAATTACCGCACCATTTTTTTTTTTCAATTATTATCTTGTAGATTTTGCTTTGCTTAATGTTATTATATACTACTTATATTTTGACTTAGATAAAGTTATATCAGTTTAACTGGTATAAACTGTTTCTTAAGAACAGTGTCAGTGGTTACATCTAGCATATGCATAGGTGAATATGTAAGAATGCATAAGAGTTAAGACTATAACATTATGGCCATAAGAAGAATATTGTTGTAATTAGCAATCGATGGTTTTTTTAGTCTAAAGTTAGGCTTGCTTAGTCAAATCGTTAACCAAAATTTCCGTATAGAAGATGATACATGTTCAAGTATTATTCGATTTTTTATTTCCGGTGGATAATCTCTTCATACACATTTTGTAATGCATTAAAAAATTGTATACTGCAATATGTATTGAGTTCAGTGATTGCAATGTAATACTAGGTATGAGATTTTTAGATTCAATTTGAAGTTTGAAAATATATTTTTTTTCTTTAATACATGTTTATGTATAATATTTACACGTGTAACATATAGGGAACAGACACAGATTTTTTTTATTTTAGTTTTTTTCCGAAACAACGATGGTAATTGAGCTAAACACCCAAAAATAATATTTAATATATGTGTATTATTTATTATATGTACCTCAATGTAATTTATTAAACTATTCGTGTACCTACTCTGTAACGATATTGTAAATAGAAATGTATATGTATTGTAATGCTGTTTAAACAAGTTAATTATCATAATTTTGGTATTGATTGAAATTTTAGTGAAATTATTTGAGCACATTGTTATGGTGTACAAACATCAGAATTGGGAACATAAGTATTAAAATATTAAGTATGATGTCATACGTTTTTTTTTTATAGATATAATTTAACGATGCGTGTATAAAACGCTAGTTTTTTTGAAATACAACAAATGTGTAATTTTAGTTTTTGTTTAAAGTAATTCATACTATTTGGCATTGATATTTTATATTTATTCAGACTTGTTTATTACATGGTGCTAATTATAATAGTTTTTTATTTTTAATAAAATGTTCCATTTATTGTATTATGAAAATTGCGGTGCTTTGATATTTTATGGAATACATAATTTGAATATTAAATTTTAATCAAAACATGTGTGTAACGGAGTATTAACGATTAACGAAGTTAGCAGGTGAAACCGAGTACACTTGTATAATATTATGTAATGTTTTAACTCGTAAATTTATTTTTTAAATAATTGGGTTTTAAATTGTTTACAGTAATTAATATTTTTCATTAATATTTTTATTTTTTACATAGTTATACATTTAAATTTGCATAGTATTTACTATATAATATTATAAATATTACGATAATAATAATAATGTTATCCGTATAATTTACCGTAAAATATAATAACCAATTAATTTTAAAATAATGTTAAAAAATATATTTATCGTGTTTTTTAGTTATAATATTATCGATCTATAACTTTTAACTTAATTTATATATAAAATTGCAAACTATCAACAAGTTTTAACCTCAATTAAATTGATGACAGTTTTATAGTAACTTTTTCGATAGTTTAAGACTGTGAATACTGCCTGTATACGTACATCAACAGTAATTGTGCTAACATTATAAACAAAAAAAAATACAATTAAATACGTTCGTCTGAGGTCATCATATAAATCCCATGGTCTTTTTTTTTTTTGTATCAAAATTATTATTTTCTTATATTTTACTGTAATACTAGTAATAACTATTTAACTTAAAAAAAAAAGTTCACTAATCAAGTTATGTTCTATTCAAAAAGATACGTAAAAAACCATAATATAAGGTTACACAGGTTTCAGGGATAAATGTCGAGTCTAACATATGATCACTGTGAAACAAACACTTTGGCAGCTCCGTCTCGAAATTCTAAACCGGGGGGCAGGGGATGCTGTTTTATTTTGCAGGTGGTGCCCGTGCGTGACAGAAATAGCTCATCGACACGTCTGTAGCTATTAGGCTTAAAAAAACCATCGGATATTGACCGAGAGGTTCGACTAGTCCTATAATTACCAATCTGCACTTACTAATATTTTTACTTAATAGTTTATAGACATACAATATATTTACCGACATTTTATAAACTAGAAATAAAAAAAATAGAATTAAAAAATGAAGTATTATTTTAAAAAAACGAATTTAAAAAAAATATAAAAGGTCAAAGTATAACCATGTTACTAATATCCATAATTAATATAATGCAGCACTATTTTTAGATAATTTGATTTATTACAAATTGAACCTTCTGTCTATTAATGGTGTTAAATAACTATTTATGTTGACTGTTGTATGGTAAAAGTATATATTTTAATATCGTAATAGACTTATCGCAAATCGTTTAAAAATAGCTTATTTTTCTTTTAAAATTAACAAAAAAAAAAAAAATAAGGCAGTAAAAATACCGGAAGAAAACAATTATTATTTTTACTCTATGTTATTTGAACTTAGAACTTTTATATCTGTTAAAATAAGATCAAATTAAAAGTTCCCATACTGTTCCTACCCTTGCTTTAGACTGTGTTTACTTACGGCTTATATATTTTGTCTATACCCTCTATTATTCTTAATCGGTTTATACATAATTTATTTTTTATACACAGATCTCATCATCTGACAAAATGACCACCACCCGCCACACTTGACGAATAATATGCACATTAACCGAAAGTTCGTCAAGCCCGTGCCGTTATATTCTCCACCTCTGTCTGTCTTGTGGTCTTTACTGCTAATCGTCAGCGCCGTTCAGTTGACATGGTCGAGGCCGGCTTTAGGACCGAACAAGAGACGAGAGACAAGGTCGCCGCCTGTCTACGAAGACGTGGTAAGTCAGATATTATAATATGATTTTGTCGTTCTTCAGTATACTATATGAAGATTTACATACATGTCGTTAAGACTTCAGTCTCTTAGGTTAAGGAACAATTTTTTTTAAAAATCCTTACGATATTATGGCAAATTATAATATATTTAGATGGGCCTTTTCTGCAGGGAGAATGGATGAAATAGATTAAAATAAAAATATAGTTCACAAGGTAACAATTAATTAATACACGAGTTAACTGAATAGCGCATTTATTTATTTATCGATGCGATAGGCTAAAGCACCTCAAAGTCGTTCGATTAAGGTCTGTCTGATAACAAAACAATATCAGTAGACATTTTGAATATGAAAAAAGCCGAACTCTTAAAAACCCTTTTGGCCATATCACTATTCCTAAAATAGTAGTACGAGCAAACAAGAAACGAGTTAGAACTCGTTATAAATAAAAAAGTAAACATACATTTGTTTTTTTGTATACATTCACAAGAACTTGGGAGAACATCAAACACAATATTTGTTAACGTTTCAATTATTATTTTAACAAAAATCTAAAGTCAAACTTCCATACATTTTTTAAGTATTTTTATTTTCACTTGACATTTACATTTGACAATACAAACTTAACTCAATCAATAATAACTCATTAACAAAGCATTCGTATACATGTTCAGTAAATTATTCTTAATATAAAAAGTTAATCAAATATATGTTACAATTTAAAAAACTAAAGTTCATACGGTTTTAACATATAAGAGATAAGGTTGTATTTTTAAAAAAATATTAAATTTGTAACTAATAACTATAAAAGTATAAAAAAAAGTCTAATATCTTCTAAGTTATTGATTGGGTCAAAATGTATAGTTAGCCAACCACCCGGTATTCCCTTCTTACGCTTATGGCGCTAGGAAAATTCTGGGATCAAATTCGAAATCAGGTAATACATTCCAAAGAATACATACACAATACGTTGGGTCTTGTTCTAAAATCGGGTTGTACAGTGTAATTAAATGTTTAAAAATAAAAATATGTGTTCTGTGTGTGCGTTTATGACGTAGTTACTTGTAACTTATTTTAACTAGTGAACTTGTAACCGGTTACGATAAATTAAGTAAACTTGCCCAACCCTGAAATTTCGAGTTAGGCACCACTGAACAGGATGATTCAATAGAATATCTATTATCACCTTTTTATAATGTGTAATATTATATTACTACATCCTAGCACACCCTCTGAACGGTCGCCGTCGTTAAATGTAATAATCGTTTAAACCTACCGTAAACTACCATGGTAGTCACGCGACACACCTTTGCAGTAAAACGTTAACAGTACCTCTTGTCCACGTATATGAAGGCATAACATATATAATATGTGTACACTATCAGTACCCCTTTTTATTTTACTGTTCTGATCGGGTGAAGAAACGGGCTTGCCATGTGTTGGTGTCTACTGAATATACTATATTATAATTAATCGATTAATTCTTCCCTCTTCACACTGGCTACGTACTTATATAGAACAAAATCCGACCATAAAGAGTATATAGATTATTCTGTGATCCAACCATAGACTGTATTATTATTATTATTATTATACTGATGGATCGTGGAAATGATGTACAAGAAATGTCTGTTTATATAATATCTATTTACAATATACTTGATCATATTTTTATACTCCATTTTTTACTATCCGTGCACCGACCAGGAGATGTTATTTTTGACTTTCCTATTTGAATACCATGTATCAGTGTTATAACTTTACACTAACCTCTCGGCACGTTGGTTTTCTTATTGTGTGCTCGACAATAGCTGTATGTGGATTAGAATTGCCCTCGCCGTCTGTACTGATGACCTCGCACGATCCTTAGGCGTTTGTCAACGGGAATCCATTGTTTTCCCCCCTTTTGGCATCCAAGTTTATTATAAATGTATTATATTGGTTTTGTTATATCAACTCGAACAGAAGTACCAAAGTATGTTTTATTACACCTAATAATGTACGGATTTTGACTTATAAACGGATTAGTGTTAAAAAAAAATACATTTAAAATGCATTGATTTTAATATAATATGTTTTTAACACTTATGTTGATATTACCATAATAAACTGTACATGCTGCGTATGAATTAACTGTCGGAAGCTGTTTCCTATTTAATTAGCTATATACTAATAGTAAGTATTTTACTAGTGTGCTTAACTCTATTATAGTGTCAGCAGTATGATCGGTTTATTTGATAAACACAGCTGTTCAATCGTTAACGATATTCATGTATTGACTTTCTCAAACGGTTCGATCCTTCCTATTTGTTTATATTTTTACCGAGAACAACTGTAATTAACAATATAGTTATAATGTGCTCTAATTTCTATTTTTTTTTAGCTATAGTCTGTGGAACTCAATTTAATATTTTTACAATGATATATTTTTTTTTTAATTGTGTACCTGAACAATAACCAAGCAGGGCAAGTTAACGATAAAATATTTACGATACAAATTTAAAATATTATGAACCCTTTCTCTCAGAAGATCTTTTTATTTTCCCCTTTTCATTTTAGAGACGTTAGTTTTGAAAATCTGGCTTTGTAATACATTATAGGTTATAGACCTAATGAGTTCACAGAACATACTATTAAATAAAAAGTATAAAAATCTATTGCCCGATTTCTTTTCCTGTCCATTTAGAAATGTCTTAATATAAATATCTGTACCTATTGGATCCAAAAATGGGAAAGACCTCTAAATTTATAAACTATAACGCCTATTGTATTATGTAAGAACGATGTATTATGGACTTATGTATTTCAACAACAACTTTAGAGTTAAAAACTATGTATTGATATTTGATATCTACTTACTACTTTATAAGTTTATTTTCAATCACATTGACTGAAACAGGAAATTTGCATAATATAGTTGGTTTTTCTTTGTGTGTGATATTTTATAAACTATTAAAGTATGCCTTAAGTTTTTGGTTTTAGTCTTATTAGGTCACTCAGTATCAAAAATCTATTAAAATATAATGATTAAGATCTTGGGAAAACTATGTTTTGAATTTGGCATTAGGCAATATATTTATAATCGTGTCAATCTATACCCTATACCCTATACCCACGTGTCGTTCCTTAAAGTTTTCCTTATTTTTCGATCTCACGAGCACAACGTTTAGACAAAAGTACTTGGCCGAGTTGGATCATATCCAAAGGTCCTACCCGTGCTCAAAACTTTCTGGACTTTTATACATGATAATACAAATATTCGAATGGCTAAAGCATTGACTGTACAATGAACGTTAGGAATAACATGTTTTTAAAAATTTAATATGATACAAATCAGATAAATCATGATATATTTACATAAAATAGTGGCAAAGTTATTGAACTGTTTTCATTAGACAAGCAAATTGGGTGCTAAAACTATAATAATAACAAACAACACATGATTAATAGACCCGACACTAACATAAATGTACTTAAGTGTATACATAAACATTTCCTTTTTTCGACAGCTTTTTACAGTCATAGATAATCTTCTATGTTTCTCAATGAATATGAAAACATTATACGTTTACGGTTTATGGTTATAAATTTAAGGTACATCGCAGTGTCACAGCTTACACATTAATAAAACTATAGCCTCCACATAAGTCAACTAAAAATAATCGTTTGGCCTTAACGGTGTATTTTAAAATTAATTAAACCACAAAAACGATTATATCAAGGTTATAATTTTTTTTTTGCTCTATGAATTTAAGGGTTTTAACCGAATGTATTATTTTTCAGAACGCGTCATTTATATCTTTTTTTTTCATTAAAAAAAATAGGCCAGTCAAAATTGAAATAATTCAAAACTGCGACAAAAATAAGTTTGTTAGCTTAAAATGATTTCCTGAGTGATTTAAAAAAAAAATAATTATTATATGAGTGGTATTTTCGGTAATTGCACTTTATATTTTTAGGTGGATAACTTAAAGCTTGTTAATTTTTAAACGAGAGCGATTTGGATTACCATTTTGAGTTATTTCAGTTCTAATTATGTCGTCGATAATATTATACGAGTACAAGGTAAACCCAAGGTAAATCTGCTAGAGAGTTACTCTCAAAGAAATAATTATTTTGTTAGGGTCTGTCGACACACATATGCTAACTATATATATATATAATATATGAGTGATACTTATTTGGGGGGGGGGGGTACTTAAAGGGTGAAAATCGAGGGATTAAAAATAGTTTATTTTGGTATCGTATCTGTGTCGGGTAAAATATGTCTGTTAGGTTTTCACAGTTGGGTCGAGTTACCGCTTCCATTTCAACCACAACTGACGCGACTGGTTCTCTGAGATCGGTTTTTTTCTCTGCTTCATGCACTAGAGATACACAAACCGAACCACCTTGGCAAAAGCAGTACAACTTCGGATAATATTTCCTCGTTAAATCCCGTCTTACCGTATACGGAATATATATATAAATGGTACAAAATAAAAAAACAAATGTTGCACAGTATTGTCTAATTGGCCAAAGTATTTATGCGTGATGTAAGGGGAAAATGGCAATATACAACGACGATATATTTTACATCTGCATATCCGGTATCCCATATGGGTAAAGGAAAATACAAGCTCGATTGAGTAAGCGTGATCATGTATACAGCTTAAAAAACAAAAATACCTTCAAGAAATGTATTTTACCTAAACTATTATTATAAGAAAATTTTACAAAAACAAGAAACAAGTAACCTCTAATAAAAAGCTCACTCTTTAGGCTCACTTTAGATTGAAAAATATTAAATTAATGGTATTCTCTTAAAAAGTTTTAGTTTTGAAATAATTTCATAATATTCTATCTAAAAAAAGGTTTTTTATTACAAAAATACAAAAAAAAAATCACTTTTGATAAAAAACAAATTTCAATTCAAATGTAATTAGTAAAGTGTTTTAATGTTTTTTTTTTATCTAAAGCATAATATGAATATATACAAATATAATATATTATATTTTTTTATA